AGAGTGCCCTAAGCATACAGTATTCATGGAATTCCTCCTCAAACAATAAAAGCTGTGGAACATACTGGAGAGGGAGATAAGCTAGAATAGGGAAACTCCCTTATTGTGAAATAGAGTAAATAATGATAGTTTTCCAGCTCAAATCGAGTTAAAGTTGTTCAAAAGTTAAATATCTTTAAAATGGTTAACAATAATATTTAGTCCGGGAGCTGGGGAGATAGCTCAGTAGAATAAGCACTTTCCTGGCCAATGCAGGGTCCTGATTCAATCCCCGGTTCTGGGGGAGAAAATAGATCAAAGTGGTGTTTACTGAATAATTACTGTGTGCCAGGAACTGTGCAGAGTTCTTTAAAGGTATCATCTTGGCACATCCTCACAAAAATCCTATGAAGTAGCTACTTCTAAGGTCCCTGCTTTATAGATAAATAAATGAGTTTAGTGATCATTCTGTTTAAGGTTGCACAGACAAGCAGAAAGAGCTGGGATTGTAAGCCAGGCTTAGTGTGATAACCAGATTTTAATTAGTTTACCTTATAGCAACATACTTTAATTATATTTGAAGTAAGATGGGATGGGACATAGTTTAAATGCTGAATGAAGATCTTTTTAGTAGATCTTGGAAGGCATGGGACATAGCTTCGTGAGTTTCACCCTCCGTTTCCTAAGAGTGATTGCTGGCTGAGTGGCTGGCTCTATAGATGGAGTCACTGAAAATTGCATTGATTCTTGCCTTTCATTCTCTTTAGTTTCCTTCCTTCCTTCCTTCCTTCCTTCCTTCCTTCCTTCCTTCCTTCCCTCCTCCCTCCCCCTCTCCCTCCCTCCCTTCCTTTTTCCTTCTCACAGTGTGTGTGTGTGTGTGTGTGTGTGTGTGTGTGTGTGTGTTGCTAGGGGTTAAATTCAGGGTCTTGAAAGTGCTAGATAAGTGTCCTACCAGTCAGCCACATTTTTACTCTTTAACTTAATTTTATTTTAGTTGAGAGAAAGTCTCATTAAGTTGATCAGACTGACCTTAAACTTACCATCCTCCTTCTGCCTCTTTTTTTATTTTAATTTTTTAATAGATTGCAAATTGAAAATAAATTACTTACATAAATGAATATAACAATAAAAATTGTCCAAAATAAAAATGAAGAAAGAATTTAAAGATCAGTCATAATAGTTCACTGTCAAAACCAAGAAACTTATATTTATATAATTAGAATTCTCAAAGTAGACAGGAGTAGGCAATAAATATTTAATGATTTAAAATTTCTGAATTTAGTTTCTTATAATACCATATTTCCAAGAAAAATGAACCTTTTGCACAAGAAATTTAAATCATACCAAGATACACAAAAATGAAATTGTCTAAAACTTATTGTAAAGAAAAAAATCATTAAAGCATATACATAAAAAATATTAGCTATGGAAGAACAAAATTAAATAGCACCTTATTCCACATTAAGAAGAAAAAAAAGAACCAAGTGTGTAAGAAACTAGATTAATTAAAGCACTGAAAGAAAAGATCTGTCCTCTTTGAATTTATACTTAGCAAACATACCTTTGAAAACTAAAAGTAAAATTTTCTAGTTATGCAAACTTGAAATATTTTAATATCTCCAGAAGTAGCATATAGGAAATAACAAAGAGCATAATTCAAAAGGCAAGGGAAGTTGCAGTATGCTCCTGGATGAACAATAAAGAGCTCTCACTATGATAGTTATGCAGGACTATATAAAAATATATTAGATGAACCCTTATTTAAAGGTCATTGCAGATTTCTATGAAACAGTACCAATCTTATGTTGGATTATACACGTATTTTTTAATATATATGTGTATGTGTGTATAAAAGACAGGAAAGAAGTAATATAAAGTCAAAAGAAAATGGAAACATACTTTTTAAAGTTTCTAATACTAGGAGAAGATATCATACTATGTCTTTTAAATAAATTGTAAGTCAAAGATATAGTATAAATCTTAGAACAAAAATTAAGATTAAGCAACATTCAGAAAATTAAATACTAATTAATTAAAAATTAAATGTTTCAAAACAATTGAACTAAGAAAAAGTTTTCATGATAACAAAGAAGTACTAAGAATAAAACAAGATAAATACTGGAATGGCAAATAAACAGTTTGAAGATAGGATATCGCACAAAGTTCTCGTGTGTTGTGGACATGCATACTGACCATGACTGTTACTGGTGGCCAGGTGTCACTTGTGGGACTGAGCTACAGCTATTTCTTTGAAATCCACCCTGTAGACTCAGGTGGAATCATGACCCATAGGGTGGAAGAGAAGTCCATTTGTAGGGTGTGCTGATGAAAATATTCTGCTGCTGAACACAAAGGAATAACTAAAAGACTACTATTGTATGCCTCTTATTTTCCTGTGTTTAATTGTTTGCCCTATTTGGTGGGTCCTTTCCATTCTCATTTATGGGGCTGTGATCAATTTGCTCCCTCTATAGAACATCATTTAGTAGTCTGTGTAGGCTTGGCTTTATGATCATGAAATTCTTTAGTTGTTCTTTGTCATGGAAGTATTTCACTTCTCCATTATACTTGAAAGAGAGTTTTGCAGGGTATATCAGTCTGGGTTGGAATTTGTTTTCTTGCAAGACTTGAAGTACTTTGCTCCATGCTCTTCTTGACTTGATGGGTTGTGAAGAGAAATCTGCTGTTATTCTGATGGGTTTTCCTTTAAATGTGATCTGTCTCTTTTCTTTAGCAACTTTTAGTATACTGTTCCTGTGGTGAATTTCTGGGATCTTGATTATTATATGTCTGGGTGTGGTTTTCATTGGGTTGATGTTATTTGGAGTTCTATATGCTTCGGTTATGTGAATGTCAGATTGTTGTCCCATATTTGGGAAGTTTTCTGGTATTACTTCTGCCCATATTCTTTTTATATCATTTGTATTGACTCCTTCCTTCTCATTGATGCCTATTAGTCTCACATTGTTCATCTTTACATCATCTTGCAGGTATTGAATTATTTTTCCCTGCATCCTAGTTGTTTTAAAGAGATCTTTTCTTACTTTTTCACTAGCTGCAATGGTGTCTTTAAGGTCAGAAAGTCTATTTTCACTTTCAGTCAAACGGTTTTGCCAGCTTGTGATTGAGGTTTTAATTTCCTGTATATCACTTTGAACCTGTTTCATAGATTCTATTTCTTTCCTAAATTGCTTATTCAGGGGTTCCATCATTTTTATATTCTCCTCTATTTTTTGTCAGTGTATTCTTTAGATGCACTTAGTACTTCTTTGATTATAGTTACCACTACATTTTTTAGTTCTGAATTATTTCTGACCTGATTTCTTCTATACCTTTCTGCAGTTGATTCTTTACTGTCAACGCTATTATTTCAGAGATATCTGGTGTGTGATTTCCAGTTTCCTCTATGCTAGTGTCTTCTGCAATTGTACTGGGTGGACTTGGGGCCTGAGACTGCATTTTGTTCCTTCTCTTTAGCATTTTGTATACCACTGTCTTCTGACCTTTGGTGTAGAGCCTAGATAGAGTTATTGCCTTAGCACCAGGTCCAGATCTACGAAGTTCAGATTCTTCCACGTGGGTGTTGCTTGTATCTGGCTGCTGTGCTCCACTTCTTTCTGCTGCAGCCATTAGACTTGAGCCCTTTGTGTCTCTCTGGCAAGATATTCTGCTCCTGAATCAGGTGGGTTTTTCTTGCCTCTAGCCTCTTTGCAGGGAGTTCTGCTGAAGGGTTCCTCGCTGGGCCTGCACTCTGGGTCAAATGAGGATCCAGTGGGCCCCAGGAGGTCTCACTCACATACTGGGCCTGTGCTCTGGGTTTATTCAGGATCTGGCGGGTCCTGGGTTGTCTCACTTCATGGTGAGCCTGCGCTTTGGGTCTATTCAGGATCCGGCGGCCCCGGGGTGGTCTCACTCACATGTGGGGCCTGCGCTCTGCTCCTTCCGCCTCTTAAATGGCTGGTATCACAGTCATGCACCACCTTGCTCAGCCATTCTCTTTCATTTTTAGGGTCCTTCCCTGCTCTACCAAGCCCAGCCCTTGGGTTCATTAGATTTCCAAGCTTGAATATAAGGCTTTCAGTCTTAGACTGAAATAGATGCCCCTGAGTCAAGGAAAGCTGTTGATAAGAAACACAGACTATTAGTATAGCTAAAGAAAAATGTAACTGCATCACTGAATTTATTGGTCTATTCCCACCACTTTTTAACTCTTCCATTTTATCTCCATCAATAGCTATTGGTTAGTGATGATTTTCAGCTAAGACCGGCAGACTCACTCCACTAATGGCAAGCTGAGAGGACAGTGAAATCTGCTATGCTGAGCCATAACCCAGCCACTCAGACAGTGAAATTGTTTTTCAGGGTTTTACACTGACATTTCTGTTCACCCTCTAATGAATGTTTTCTGTCCATGAATGAAGCAGAGATGGAAGAGGAGGTAAATAAATGCTAACATAAATTGCAGTGGGTCAACCACACATACAGACCCTCAAAAAAGTTCTTTTTTCTTTTCTTTAGCGTGGGTTAAGGTGCTTGCTGATTTCCAAAGTATTTCCTGAGTTTTCTTAGTATGCCAGATGCATCAAATATTGCTATTTCAAACCCGTATTCCCTAACTCATGCATCAGAGTGGAAGGTCTTTTTCAAAAACAGATAGAGATCAGAATATAATGTGTGCTTTTCACCATGATATGTCACTTACTGACTCACCAGTCACATGCTAGGTAACGGATATTGAAATTGAAGTTGGCAAGCTCCAGAAAGCAATAGTTGACCTTTACTTTTAGTATTTGAGCATATGAGGGTTTTTTTTTTTGGTATGATTCATTGCTATGAAAGAAAATTGTCAAATGATAGGAGAAAATACTTTTACTGAGTATTCTGTATTTGTGTAAGTAACTGCACATGGTTTAGCATTCATACTCTAGCTCTTTTCATCATCTGAGTCATACCCAGGAGCTAGAGTGATTGTGTCATCTGGCTATCTTCCCACATGCCGTATATGCCATGTTGCCTTGCAGCTCGGCTTTGGATCATTCCTTGGAATCATCGGATCAAACCTTGTTGAGAACAAGCGGCAGATGGTAAGTTTTTATCACCACAGAATCAAGCTCTTCATCTGAAAAAGCTCAACATTTATGTGGCTAAGTAGCACATCTTTAAGTTTGTGAGAATTTGGCCAGAGAATAAACTGCCACATGGCCTTTTCTCCTAAGCCTCTGAGGAACTAACTAGCTTTACAATATGACTGTGGTATGGGGCTTGGTTTCATCTTGCTCCCTCACTGGCCAGGCTGGTCTCCTAAAGTCATGGGGACAGAATATTGTGGATCTTGTCCATTTCTTTCCTTCTCACTCCAAGAGGAGCTTTCCAGCATGGCCAGTGAGGTTGTTGTCTTTGCTGGAATGCCTGCGTTTCTTTGATTTGCAGTACTGCAGCCCGGAGTTACTGGTGACCCTCAGCCTTACTGAGGAAAAGACATTATCTTTTGGGAAAGTGCTGGCAGAGGATTTTGGCCTTTTGGACTTTGATGAAGATAATAAATGTACTTGGGTTTCAAATAAAGGAAAAATAAAGCTATGGAGCTAGCCTAAAGTAGCTCCATTACCCATAGGTCAAAGCCAAGTGTGTCCTAAATTTGAAAGGAAAGAGGAACATATATAAAACAAAGACAAAGCTTTTATTTTATTTGTTTGAGATGGGATGTTGCTATGTCATTTAGGCTAGCTTTGAACTTTATATGTAGCCCAGGATGCCCGCGAAGTGTAGCGATCCTCCTCTCAAGTACTGATATTACAGGTGTATGCCACCATGTTCAGATGAAGCTCTTCAAGTTCAAATGTACTAATGGCGCCCCCAGGGGCAAGCTGATATGTCTTCCTGGTTCAATCTGAGCTTTCCTGGAGGGGAAGGGTACAAGATATAGACTAAATTGCAAGCAGATTGTAATTTTGTAGACTTGTAAATCAAGAACACTGGTGAGTGGTCAGATGGTGGGCTGATTAGGCTTCCCAAGTACAAAGCTCTGTGGCATCCAGACTTTGATAATGGGGTCTATTTAACAGCAAGTTTAATCAGATAATGTAATAGCTCCAGGGACACAGAACGCTCACCATATGTTTCCTCCCAGGAGTATGGGGAATCATCCTCTGGGGACTTCTAATAGTTTTCTTCTTCCATTTCACCTGGATGTACCCCAACCCCTACCCCTGCCAGTCGTGTTTGCACTTTTGTCTTAAATTATTCAAAATAATGGAGGAGTTTTAATTGTAGGACTGATCATAGCAGAGCTAATAATGCCAACTTCATGACATTGTTCATCCATTATTTAGCAATGTCTATAGTACTATTAAGTAAGATTTATGGCAGGAGGTTTGCAAACAACTCCCAAAGGAGATTAAATATTTTCTCCTAGCCTGTTGAAGTAGAAGTCTAGGGTGGCCTTGATTTTGATTCCTTCCAAGCTGGATGTTGCGTTCTTTCCCTTTCTTTTCCTCAAACAACCTCATGTAAGAAAGATATTGAGGGTGGGGTGAGGTAGTAGGTATCCATGTCTGCTCCTGCCCATCCCTTGAGAAACCTGTGTCCCCACACACTGGGTTGTAGTATCACTTTTGTAATAGAAGCCAAACTATTAGGAAAATGTCCTGTTATCTAACATGGTTAGAGAACAGGGAAGTCTGTTTTGAGCAAACATTTTTTGTACTTCACATTTTCCACATATACCACACAGAATTCATCCATTGCAGACACCTCAATCCTTGTGAAATATCCCTGACATTCACATCTTCATAAGCTGAATGCTCCCTTTTTCTCACTGATGAAGAAAACCATATAGGGTCACCCTTAGCTTTGTCATTGTCCGCTATGCTAGTAACAATGGGAGGTACTGCAGAGGACGCTGGGTAGAAGTTGGTGGCTACCAGCCTCTTCTGTAGATGTGATGGACACCTGAGGCACACCACTGACCTTCACTGTGCCTTCATTTACGCATCAGTAAAATACGGGGTTAGATTACATGATAGCAAAGGGCCAACATTTTTTTCTTCTTTTAGTCTGAGGGTGGAAAGGCTCCCCAAATTCTTCTGTGCACAGCAGCTTGGATGCCAGCACATGTGGTGCTGAGAGAGTGAATTTCTTAGCTTTCCCTGAAAATGTAAATAGAAACTGGGTGTTGTGGCACGTGCCTGTAATCCAAGCCCTCGGGAAGCTGAAAAAAGGAAGATCACTATGAGCCCAATCTGTGTAGTGAGACCCTGTGAACCCTGTACTAAATACATTAAAAAAAGAAACTGTAAAAAAAAATGTGGTTCATGTGTTCTACCACCACTCCCATTCATTCTGCATGACTGAAAAGAGTATTCCCATGGGGTGGCAGCTAAAGTTCTGCTTTAGCTAGCAGTCTCTTGGGATCACCTACTCTCCAGAAATATCAAAGAATAGAAAATTAACAAACACTCTTTGTTTTGTTCACCTCTTACAGCTGGTGGCTTCAATTGTGTTTATCAGCTTTGGTGTGATTGCAGCTTTCTGTTGTGCCATAGTTGACGGAGTCTTCGCTGCCAGACACATTGTAAGTGATCTTAGCCCTGGATTTAAGTAAATATGCAATACAGCAAGGCTCTATTGAATGTGTGCTGGATATTCAGTGCCGTGCTGAGTGTTTTGAGTGGTACACATGAGAGAAAATGCAGGGCTCCCTTTCTCAAGAGCTGACACTCAGGATGAGATCACAGATGGATGTACAGGCATCTAGAAAAATGGGGCTTAGCTGGAGGCACAAATTCTAGGTTCCATTGTGGTTTATATTAGACTGCAGTGGTCAGGGAAAGCTTCTGGGTGTTGTAGGGCTAGATTTACACCTTTGGCATATGATATTTAGAAAGATAAAATCATAGGCATGGGAGCTAGGGGAACAGCTTGCTTTTAGGGTTGCACGTAGGGACAAAGCAACAAGAAGCCATATGAGTGAAGATTTTATGGCTGACCTCTTCAACAACAGCAGGAGGGGCTGGGGAGATAGCATCAAGGCTGGGGAGATAGCTTAGTAGAATAAGTGCTTGCCTGGCAAGTGCAAGGGCCTGAGTTCAATCCCCGGTTCCGCAGGAAAAACAAAAACAAAAACAAAAACACCCAGCAGGAGCATATCATGGGGACAGATTCATCTTTTCTCATATCCCAAACTTTACTGTTTCTCCAGTAGTGGTTAGAGCATAGTAATGACTAGTCCTGCATTTCTGATTAACAAATGCTTCCTGCTCTGGAGAAGCTGTACCTTGAGTAAAGGACTAAAGAACCAATGGACATCTGAGTCCTAAATCTCTGTTTCTTTTCTAGGGAAGCCCGGGACCAATGCTTTTCTATTTGGCTCTAAGACCCTTGCCTGCCTTTCAGCATTGCCTTTCTCACAGAATTCTAGACTTCTGGTCCAGGGCCAACTCCTCCATTAAGCATGGTAAACCCAGTGTCTAGGCCCCATGATACTTCCAGGGTCCTACAAAAGATTAGCATTTCTCTTTAAAGAAGAGAAATGATACCATGTGTGGTGGCACATGTCTGTAATCCCAGCACTTGAGAGGCTCAGGCAGGAGGATCACCATGAGTTCGAGGCCAACCTGGGCTACATATTTTTCCCCACCTTCTGCCCTAAAAAAAAGACTTTCTTCCTCCTCCTCCTCCTCCTCCTCCTCCTCCTCCT